AATTTCAATCAGCACACATGCTTTAATTAGTCTTCTTTCTTAGTGTTCAGTGTGTTATTAGTAGGTAAAAAAATTCATTAAATGTATTTGATGATTAAACAGGTCCAAGGAGATGATAGATTAATCTATCTTAATGGAAAATGTTATCACAGATGGTTTAGTATATAACAAGAGCTGTTAAAACCATCATTCTGAAAACCTGACCCAAGAACACATTGTACTTTCTACTAATTGAGAAGTGATTGGCCTTTTGACTCCCACCGTTTCACAGTGATTGGTAATGTTTCAAGCATCATAACCACATACACTGCATCATTTGGTAATGAATTATTTTATCTTCTCATTTTAATATATTCTGAAATGTCATAAATGACTCAATTTTATTACTGTAATTACATTTCTTTTACACCTGTAACTACAATATATGGTAAGACAAATTGAAGAGAAAATCTGATATTTCATCAAGGAATCTACATAATGAAGACAAAAAAATTAAAACTGCAAAATCTTTTTTATTTTACGTATATAAACCAACATTGAATAGTATGTAGTCTGTCCACAGCAATATTACTTTTTGATTTACTTTTGTAGAAAACAATTTAGATTGGCTTCATGCTGGCTATTGAAAGTACTATGTTAAATCTTATTGTGTCATATAGACCAATGGAATCAGGAAACCTAGGAATAGATAAATAACCAACAAAGATTACAGAATTCATTGTTTCCAAAGGGACACAATTGATAGCCCCTTTCCCAGATACATTAAGCTGAATGTGTGGCAGGGGGATCAATAATAAATAGAATAGATGGGAACGTTCTAAGAAGATGCAGGAAATAAACCCCTGTATCACTACTAAAAGACTATCCTAGACAATCTAATCAGATTGATCCTATCATTCACCTGACATGAAATCTCCGAACATCTGGGTTATGCTTCAGGTCAGCTGCAAGTGAGAGTTAATGGGTTCTTGCTTTTAGTCGCTGAGACGGCTAGTCAGCTTGCATTGTTGAAATTAACTCATGTAAAGTTAGTGCAACTTGACGTTTTATATAGATGTATAGAACTTGAAAACTACCAAACATATCGCAACTGCAATAAAGTTGTATGCTAGAAAAAGTATTATAATAATAATAATAATTTCAGTTGGGTGGCATAAGCAGCATTATAAACATATACATTGGCTTGTGTGTTAATAGATGGACACTAATGCAGTGAGACGTTTGTTGGTGATGAATTCTAGCTGGAGCAGATATTTCTTCCAAAATCATCCAGCAAAAAAATTAAAATTAGTATTTATTTCAGTAGTAGTGTAATGCCAGCACTCCACCAGTAAAAAGGTTTTCCCACAAAACCCCAAAACACCATATTCGTGGTCTCACATACTCGTACTTGAGATTTACAAAGCACAATATGAAACTCAAATAAATTCTGAATAATTACATTATAATACAGCTGGAAAAAAACAACAATTTGTATCTCCTTTGTATTTATATGCAGTCAAGTGAGTGTTTATTGCAGATCAGCCACAACGTTAAAATAACCTGCAGAATATCATGTAGATCCCCCTCATCGTGCAAAACAGCACTGATGCGTCAAGGCATATACTACATAAGACCTCTGATCATGTTCTGTTGCATCTGGCATCAAGACATTAGTAGCAGTTTTATTAAGTCCTGCAAGTTGTGAGGTTGGATCTGATTTGTTGTTCAAGTATATCCCACAGATGCTAAATTAGATTGAGAACTGTGGAATTTGGAAGCCAATGTCATATTCTGAACTTTTTGTTGTGGTTCTAAAACCATTCCTGGATAATTTTTGCAGTCTGGCAGGGTGCATTATCCTACTGAGAGAGGCTATTACCATCAGGGAACACCAGTGCCATGAAGGTGTGTATGTGGTCAGCAATAAACTCTTGTATGTGGTACATGTCAAAGTAAGATCCACATGAATGATCTGACCAAAAGTTTCCCAGTATAACTTTTCCTAGAGCATGATACTACCTGCCTCGGACTGACTTATTCCCAAAGTGCATCCTGCTGCCATTTCTTCCACAGGTAAATGACACACATGCACCTGGCCATCCACCTGTTCTAAAAGAAATTGTAATTCATCCGACCAGGCACCTTCGTCCATTGCTCCATGGTGTACTTCTGACACTCAAGTCCCCATTGAAGGCACTTTCATTGGTGGACAGAGGTCATCATGGGTACTCTGAGAGGACTGCGGCTGCTCAGCCCCATAAGCAGCAAACAGAAATGCACTGTGTGTTCTGACAACTTTCTATTATGACCAGCATTGTGTGTTATAGCAATTTGAGTTAGACTAGCTCTTCTGTGTGATCAGACCAAACAGACTAGCCTGTGTCCATGTGCATCAATGAACCTTGGGTGCCCATGACACTGACGCCGGTTATCAGTTGTGCTTCCTTGCACCACTTTGGTAAATACAGTATGTGTGAGGGGTGTTGTGTGTGTGAAAGGGTGCATGGTGTGTGAGAAGTGTGTGTGAAGGGTGCAGAGTATGTGTGAAGGGTGTAGTAAATGTGTGTGTGTAGGTGAGGGGTACAGGGTCTGTGAGGGGGAGCACGGTATGTGTGTGACGGGTGCTGTGTGTATGAGGGGTGCTGTGTATGTGTGAAGTTGTGTAGGGTGTGTGAGGGGTCTATTGTTAGGATTACTTGTGGATACAGCATATAGAATTATATCACACCTAGGACTAAAGGTAACGTCTTAGAACACACTCTCGGAAAACCACTTAGGGAAACCACGACAGGGCAATGAGGGAAGGCAAGAATGGAGTTTAAATAAGTCTCATTTAAATCTGATTGGCCGTACCTGGCCTATGACCCCAGAACGTGCATGCACATCCTTTGCATGACATCACACGCATGTTGACATCGCCAATACCATGGGCGAACGTGGGGCTACAAATCGGTATGGATCCGCAGCGGCCGGTGTCATTCAGCATGCCGCAGGAGCCAGATACACCGGCACAGGGCTGCCGACAAGCATCTTCACCAATGCCAGGAAGGTAGTTATCCTCACGGATACCACAAGGTGAGGATGAACATGTGACATCTATATTGTGGTGGGGGGGTGATTAGGAAGAAAATGTATATTATTTACTTTAAAGTGGGACAAAAGCTTTATGCCCCCTCCTTACCTCTGGCCTGGAAGGAGGGGACATATCATTGCATCGTGGTCCAGTGGTGGCGTGTGCACTTCAGCCTGCAGCTCCTCTGGCTGCTGGCTGATTTGGATCATTTCTTCCTGAGAGCACAGAGCTGTCAGAGAGTTGCCATGGTAATGCATGGCAAGGCTCCGACCTGCCTTTCATGGGAGGATCACAGCCTCCTGGGTCCTCCTCCTGCCCTGCAATCTCCCTGGTCCTACCTCCCTCCCTCTCCCTTAACAAACTGCCAGGAGACCGGTGAGGGAGATCTTTGACCAAATGACTTTGTGGACCTTATATGGCCCGCGGGCTGGACGTTCCACACCCCTGATGTAGCAGTAAAATCGGGTAAAAGCTTTCGCGGGCCGGCAATCAATTCTTGCGGCCACTGGTCTAGCCATCACTATTTGGCCCTAATCAAAATCACTCTTTTCACTTGCCCATTTTTTTCTGTTTCAAACACATGTAATTTAAGAACTGACTATTCACTTGCTGCCTAATATATCCCAACCCTTGACAGGTGCCATTGCAATGTTATAATCAATGTTAATATTCACTTCACCTGTCAGTGGTTTTAATGTTATGGCTGATCAGAGTAAATTTATACTTTCAAGGCTACCTAAAGTCACCTATCTAATAATAAAATAATTTAGAAACAACATATGGCTAAATGTTAATATACTGATATTAAAGGCAACTTTGCCTGCTTTCCTATATAAAAATATGCTATTTTAGCTTTTGCAATGCATATATATATGTGTATTTATTTTTTTAACAATCTTTATAAGCATGAAATAGAAAAAATATAAAAAAGTAATAGCATATTTCAATCAAATAAGAAAGTATTGATATATTGTTCACATGGTCCATGCCAGATGGTTTATGAACGGTAAAATTAGTGTGCAGAACATGAATGAGGAGGCCTTAATGGTATGCCTATGAATTATGGTAAAGGTCCTTTGAGTAGTTTATCCCAATTCGCCCAGATTTTGCAGAATTTAGAGTCTGTAAATTTGCAAGTGAAGTTGACTGAGTTTTATTTTAGGAGCATTATGATTTCGTCATACAACATTTAAAGTTGCAATTTTAATGATATATATTATAAACAAGGTATTTAGTACATTAACGGGGAATTATTTATTTATTCTAACTGTGTTAAAATTTTGTATAAGTTGTGTTCTCACTCACATCAGATTAAAATTGTAATAAAATTAGTAAAAATACATATTCACATTCTTATTTCAAAATCTTATTTTTCTTTCAAATGTTTCTAAATTTACACTTTGTTAATTTTTTTATACGCACAATCAATTTCTATTATAAAAGTTACAAATTTTAATATTCTAGTTACATAAATATATACATAATGACATAGGTCAAACAATGATAGGTTTTTATAGGTTCACTTAGGGATTTATTTAGTCAACAGGGATTTCTTGCTATTTTAGAAATCAAAGGCAGCATTAAGAAATAGGTAGCTGTGTTGATTAAAGTCGATTATTTTATATAAAACTTGGCTATTTTGCTTTTAATTTTACAATTGGGTGAATGTACCCATTAGGGCTGAAAATATCCACAGTTGGGATCACACACAAGCTATATTATTAGGCAGAGCAAATATTATCTGTTATACAGACATAGAAGTATATGGGAAATATATATATGCAAGTCTAGTATTGTACTACCTTAATCAAAATTGTTTCCTTCTTTCAATAAATTTAAAACATTATTTCTTACAACGCACTTGTGAATATGAATGAAAAACTCGCACTATGTGATGTTTGTGATTATAAATGTAGAAGATGTATTTATTCAACGTAGATGCCTAAGAGTATAAAAACTGCCAGCATCAAAGAGTGAAAGAAGTCAACTAGAGTAGAGCTGTCCTCTGGTGACTAACTTTGCCAATAATGACAAACATGATGAACCCAATAGTGAAAGGTAATTTGTGTGGACATTTATATTTATAAATATATAATATGTATTTTCGATATGAAAAAGATTTGGGCTATAATGTATACTTCTATTTAAGCTTTTACTTTTATGATAAAACAGATAAATGCTTTATTTCACCTTAAAAGTGTTATTTGTCTATATTCTAGAGAGAGGAACATTATGCATTAACATTGAGATTCAAAATATAATCAACTTGAAGCATTCCAGGAATTTAGTGTATTACATGGATAATGTACAATTAATGAGCAGAATATTCTAATTTCCATTTGATTTTGTGGACTGTGAGATAAGATGACCATAATCTGGTCATCTGGGCATTTAGCAGTTCCATTTAAGTCATGGGAGACAAAATACCTTTTGTATACAGTTATTGTGTAAGTGATGTTGGAGGGCTCCCTAATTTGTTTTCAATTCCTTGCTATTGTCTGTGCAGAAATAATAATGTGACATGGAATTATAGTAATAATTGCTTTGGTTGTATGTGGATGGAACAGAGTTAAAAGTAGGAATATAAGATAGGTACGAATCAATATCTTGGATTTATAAATAATGCAAGGGATAAACATGACCACAAGATATGTTCTGCCATACCCACATTTGTGAGGCAGCATGATGAGTATGCCTGTGGTACAATTTTATTAATATGATCAGTGGTTAAGTATCTTTTGTTTACAATTCTATTTGTATTGCTTGAGTTTTGGTGGGACTGTTTGTTTCAATAAATGAAGTAAATAAAAGAGTTTTCCGGTGTCATGCCTACTTTACCCTTAACAAATGCCCTTAACAAACTTAATCTGATCTGAATAGGTTCTCTGACAATACATTTTCTTGTAGAACTCCTACTCCCATCACAATAATTACACATTTGCAAATAAGTTTTAATAAATATTAGATATATTACAATGTATGAATAGACTAGATGGGTCAAATGGTTCATATCTGCCATCATATTTGATGTTTGTATGTCTCTATGTAGTTGTATAGGGTTTTTATGTTGTGTTACATGTATTTCATGAGACATTAACTGCTGCAACACCCATCACTTTAAATGTTGCCATTTTTTTTCAGATTACTTTCTCCCTTTCTTGACAGTCTGACAGCTGCCGCTCCAATTATTACCTAACTCACCTGTCCTACACAAGCATCATTCCTGGCTAGGGCACATATATGATTTTTTGGCATAAATATTTCCTGTGATTCTTTGTTGACCTAATTTGCATATGCCTACCTAGTAGTAACATCACTGCAAAGTAGAGATTTCTGTGGGAAAAGTAGGTCTTATGGCTTGACGTGTGTGTGTGTGTTATATATCTATCTTTCTAGAAATGCGTAAAGTTATACATTTCTTGTGGTCATTTTCTGCCTTGTTATGATTTTACCCTGTAGTTGACTTATTTCTTTCTTTTTTTTTTTTTTTAAGTTGTAATGTTTGTTATGATAGCTGGGTCCCATTTATTATTGGAAAGAAACTGGGTGACTTCCCATCCAATTTGTGCAAGAGATGGTACCAACTGCCTAATGACTACAGGAGAACTCTTTGACCGTGCTGTTGGCCTCTCACATTATATTCATACACTATCTGCTGAAATGTTCAAGGATTTTGTAAGTATATGAATGATAATATAGTTAAAAATGATTCTATTTATTCTATATATCATTCTTATCAAATTTGAGTCACTAATAACTCTTAATTTTAAAAATGTACTTTAAATACACATTGTGAAGCTAAAAGCATGGCTAAATCTACATGCTCAAACTATTATATCACCCATGCTTATTGCCCCATTTTTAGACATCTGCAACACCATTGCTTTTTGCAGACAGCCCCGTCAGTTAATGATGCAAAATGATAATGTACCAACTATTCATCATTGATGTTTACACCTTTCCGTGGTTTTACCTTTACATTTTTAACTCCAGTTTTTCACACAATGTTGCTGTGTTACTATGCCTACATATTCTTATCTAGTCTAACCTTTCCTCGTTTCTCATATATGTTGCAACCCTTGACCCCATTAGCTCCACCTTTCAGTTGTTCCTTTTATTTCTGTATCTCCATTTATTCCATTGCTTTTAACCAATCTCTTACAAATCTCCTGTCAGCATTGTGTGTGCCTTTCTCCTTTTCATCCTATACACACACAGTTCCACTATTCAACTTCTAAACAGACAGAAGTTCCACATTTTAAGTATGCAACATGAAACAATTCTATAAACAATGTATAAATATAATGCTCTTTGGTAGGATGAACAGTTTGCTCCAAGTCGAAGGTTCCCAAAATCTGTAATGAGATGTCACACCGCTTTATTAAACACACCTGAAGACAAAGAGCAAGCTCAAAAAATTCAAGTGAGTAATTTATACGCAATTAAGTAATTAACTACTAATTATGTCACACAAAAACCGTAAATATATGTTTTGATCTTAGCTTTTTTACTGACATTTAAATCTGAAACACGGTGAAATGTTTCAATAATGATAAAAATTACAAATGAGCAAGGATTATAAAAATTTAAAGTTATAAAACACAATCTTTGTCAGTCTCTCCTTCACTTAAAGGAACACTATGGACCCCATTCTGGTGCAGCATTCTGCAAAACATTTATTTATTTTGTGCAAAAAAACTAAAAATATTTGAACATGTAAAAATGCAGAATATTATTTAGGCCAAAATCTACCATACACATTCAATTTCTACTGGTGGCCAGAGCGTCCCTTTAATTTCTTAAAGGGTTACTTCAACCACCTTCACAACTTCAGTAATATGACGTGTTCATGGTGGTAAGAGTCTGGATGTGCAGTGTTTCAGCTTGAAACACTGCATAATATAGATATATTTTTAATTGTGTGCTAGGGGCTAGCTGCACGCCCAGCACACATGACAATGACAGCCTAGAACTCTCTTCCATGCTGCCTAATGTCAATTGTGCATATTTAGTCTGATCATACATTTTGAAATAGGACCCTTAAAGAACAGATTGTTATGACCAGAAACACCATCATTATCCCTTAATGGATTAAAATACAGTTTTACCAAATAAATACATACATTGCAATGTGCATGTAGATAAATATAATTTAGCATATTATACTACATGTTTTACTACTTTTGTAGCATCAGCATGTAGGAGAGTTACACTAAAAGTGTAAGTATGAGTTGTCTAATAATTTAGCAACGGTTTTATTATCTGGCTGCAAGCCACATTTAGAAAAGCAGAATCCATAAAGAGCTGTGTATAACATTTTATAGCTTATTGACAGGAGCATTAGAGTTTAGAAGCAGATTACAATACCTATTAGTCCCAAGCATAAAACATTTGAAATGTTCAGTCGACATTGCTACCTCAATGAGTCAAAACAATGACAGTCTTTTTTTCAAGGATAAAAAATTATATTTGATGGAGAGATAGAGCTAGTCAATTTTTTGTTTTTTGAAAAGAAAAAAATACATCACAGTTTTTTTTGAACAAAAAGAAAGAGGAATAAAAAGAATAGGGAGCTAAAAATAATTCTTAAAAAATGTTTTTTAAAATTACATGGACGGCAATACTGTTATATAATACTATTATATTTTCATTATTAGTAGTAGTAGTTTTATGCTTTACAGAAGAATACTAACCATTAAATAACAGACACCATGTGTGCATAATCCTTGTTAAAATAAATTACGATACATTTTTATAATCCTTGCTCATTGGTAATTTTTATATACACTCTTTGAAAGTTTTAGCAAAACGTGGTAAAGAAACAATAGGAATAGAATTCTGGAAATTTATATTAGGATGAAAGGGTTATTGATTGTGATAGTTCTTATTACTTTGTTCTCCTTTTAATCTTGTTTTATTAGAAAAATAGACAGGACAAACCAAGAACAAAGTCCCAGTGTTACAGATCTAGAAACTTGACATAAAATATTTCCAATTCTTGTCATATAATTCCTCAATGTAATATTTGTGGATAAGATTTTTAAGTGATTTAATATTTTGAATGCAGTTTACAAACAATTGATTTAATATTTTGAAAAAAAAAAGTCATAAATATATTTTTATACATAGTATACTTTGTGATATTTTAATATTTTGAAAAAATTATTTGAAAAGTTTTTCCCAGAGGCTGGGCCTGACTTTCATGCCGGACAGGCGGGGTTTGTGAGAGCACCCTACTGATTTTTATAGTTTGGCTGTAGTGGATATTTACCACTTTTCAGACCAGCTAGATTCTTTGTGCTTGATTTTCTTTGTGATACCAAAGAATTCTAGCTCTTTAACATTGCAGCCTGGTGCACTGTGGTAGTGAGAGGCGTCCAATCCCCCAGTCTGGAGCAGCCTGTGCTTCTGTGGCTTAATAATTGTGCCCAGTGTCCTTCCTCTGGACAGATGAAGGTGTCTTGCTGATTATTTTATAAGGTTCAAGGATGCAGGATATGACACCAATTGAGTGGGTGAAATAAAGTTTATTTATTAAGGACAAAACAGAATCATCCTGAAAAATTACAAGTCTTTAAGAATAATGCAGTATAGTCTTTCTAATTACAAGAATTTTACAAGAATAAAGTAATACATCAACGATTCATTTATTGTAAAATTACATCCAGGCCCACTACAGCTGGGAAGCCCCATTCCTACATAGTGCATCCACTCGTAGGTCAGGCTTCTGGCAAGGCTCAAAATTGGGCTTGCCAGTTGTTGTGGGCCTAGATGTAGCATAACAATAAATTACCCTATTTTGTTATTTTGTGTCACTCTGCAGAATGTATTACTGTCTCATGCTATCCTTTTGTGCTGACATTCCTACTCCAGTGGCTTTATGCTCAAGTATTTAAGCTTATTATTGCCCATGTATACATTATATTTCCTTAAAAATAGATACTGTCTTTCCATGCAACTATTAAAGGATCACTATAGGGTCAGGAACACAAACATGTATTCCTGACCCTATAGTGTTAACACCACCATCTAGCCCACCTGGGCCCCTCATGCCTCCATAACTATAGTAAAACTCTTACTGTATTCAAGCCTGAAGCTGTAAATCTGCATGCTGTTAGACTCAGAAAAACAAGCAGTCTGCTGACATGTGGTAGCCTGATCCAATCCCAGTGCTTCCCCATAGGATTGGCTGAGACTGACAAAGAGGCAGATCAGGGGCAGAGCCAGCATGATTCAAACACAGCCCTGGCCAATCAGCATCTCCTCGTAGAGATGAATTGAATCAATGAATCTCTATGAGGAAAATTCAATGTCTGCATGCAGAGGGAGGAGATACTGAATCACAGGATGCTGTGCACAGTGCTGCCCTGTGCTCTGCTGACAGCAGATCTGAGTGGCAGGAGGCATATTATGCCTCCATCAACTCCAAAGTCCCCCTGGTTCACTCTGAGTGACTGCAACTGGAGGTGTTCCTAGCTTTTTTCAGAAAATACAGTGTTTACATGAGAAAGGCTATAGTTCTCACCTGAACAACCTCATTAAGCTGAAGTTGTTCAGGTGACTATATAGTGTCCCTTTAAGTACATTGCTTCTAATTGAGAATTGTATATGTTGTGTATTTGAACTATCAATCTGCTCAATTAAAGATTGACAAAACAACATAGTTAATAAAACATATACATTATCTGAAAGTTATCCAAATATATTAAATCATTTTAAAAGCTTATCGAAAAATATCAAATCAAGGCCTGCCTAAGCCCTACAGTAAAGGAAAAGATTGTAAAGCAAATGCTGATGCCAATCATTGATTATGGGTATGTAGTATATGCACCCGCACCACAATCCCACTTTAATAAACTCAATACATTGTATAACTCGTTCTGCCGATTTACGCTACAATGTAATTACAGGACCCACCATTGTGACATGCTAAAAGAACTAAACTGGCTGTCGCTGGAATCCAGACGCACCCTTCATCTTTCCAGCCTTGTGTTTAAGAGAGTTTCTGGGAAGCTCCCACCATACCTGAGCAGAATGTTCTCCCCGGCTGTTCCCACCTCCTATAGTCTACCTCAATACAAAAGAAAGTGTCCCGATCCTCCTTTTCCTACAGAACGCCGCAATTTTGGAACTACCTCCCGCACCCTTTAAAATCTTCCCCAAGCCTAAAGTCCTTTAAGAGATCCCTCTCTACATACCTCAAAACAGAATGCACCTGTCATGGTTGATTATATATTTCCTACCTGTTCTATGTTAAATTTTGTATATATTGTGTATTAATATTGTTTTTGTATTTTATTGTACCCTAATGTAAAAATGTAATGATTTGTGGACCCAGGACATACTTGAAAACTAGAGAAATCTCAATGTATCTTTCCTGGTAAAATATTTTTATAAATAAATAAATAATCTAAAATCTGCAATACACAAGGTAGGCTTTAAAACATTTAGACTACACTAGTAGCAGGGAATCATGATGAACTTCACATACAGTGATATTGTCACGTTGATTCACTGAAACGTATGCTTATAATAGTCTTTTCTTTTTACATAAAAGCATGAACACTTGCTAAACTTAGTGATGAGGGTTCTGAGATCCTGGAATGATCCACTACTCCACATGGTTTCTGAAGTACAAGGTATCCGAGAAGCACCAGACACAATATTATTGAAAGCTGTACAAGTTGAAGAGCAAACCAAACAGCTCTTAGAAGGAATGGAACAGATTATTGGAAGGGTAAGAATTTTACATTTCAATTGCTATCACTCTACATTCTATTAGATATGTGAAGAGATTTTAGGAAAAGTAATATTCACCTGAATGTATTACTCGAACAAAGCTTCTATGCTTATATTAATTAGAACAAGTAATGTAACACACTCTGTTCCTGTGTTCTCAGATTCATCCAGGTGATGTAGAGAATGAACTTGATTCACTGTGGTCTGGCCCTCCAATCTCAAACTCAGCTGATGAGAATTCTCGCCTCTTTGAATTTTACAACTTGCTTCATTGCCTTCGTCGGGATTCACACAAGATTGATAACTACTTAAACCTTCTGAAATGTCGCCTTTTCCATGACAATAATTGTTAAGCTTCTTTTCTATTCTACATACATTGCTTGATCACTAGGAAAAGAAGGATGTCTTCTTATTTAGCAATGAAATTAAATCAGATATGTTGCTATATATAAATGAAGCTTCAAGTTAGCAATTTATAACATAGCAACTTTTAACTAAAATAACACTGTCACTAACACTTTTAGAATGTATTGCCAATAAAAATAAAATCACAAAAAACGTGTCTCAATCTCATATATTCTTTCTCAATACAAAATATTTAACAAATTATTTTAACTACATATATGCAATCCACATTTATTTAAAAAAAAAAAAAGTGTATCTCAAATAGAGTAAGCATTTATCACACTCCTATAAATAGTGGATATGTGTAATATTAGATGCAATTGCTATTAATTCCTTAAATAGTACACTTCAGTCAATCACAGTCGAAAATAAAACAAAAACAAAGGCTTCTATAGTAAAATTTACTTTAAGAGCACTTTCATTCTTAGACAAAGCATATGATAACGCGTCAGTTAATCTCAATTGACACAGAAATTACTTTTGTAAAATACTTTTGCAAGAAATGTCAAGTTAGAATATTTTCAAAACAAAAATATTTAAATACTTACAGTATATACTCGAGTATAAGTCTAGTTTTTCAGCACATTTTTTGTGCTTAAAAACCCCCACTCGACTTATACTCGAGTCACTGTCTGTATTATGGCAACTTAGAGAGCCGCGGCCATCAGAGCCATGGCAACGATCCGCGCGGCAACCAGACCGCGAGACTTACAGTGGAGCTGACCGGAACGGAGAAGAAGGGAGCTGACAGGAGCTGCAGGAAAGGTAAGTAAATGCTTCCTGCCAGCCCCCCCACTTCACATCCCATGCCACTGGACCACCAGGGATTAAGATAGCCTCCCTGACCAGTTAACAAGCAGGTAGGGGGGGGACAAAAAAAAAAATAATAATAATAATAATAATAATATAAAAAAAAAAAAAATTCAAATAATAAAAATGCCCTCCCCCCACCCAGTTTACACACACTACACAAACACACACTCTGCATTATATACACACTCTACATTATATACACAGAGTGTGTGTATATAATGCAGAGTGTGTGTTTGTATGAGTGTGTGTGTATATATAATGCAGAGTGTGTGTTTGTATGAGTGTGTGTGTATATACAGGGAGTGCAGAATTATTAGGCAAATGAGTATTTTGACCACATCATCCTCTTTATGCATGTTGTCTTACTCAAGCTGTATAGGCTCGAAAGCCTACTACCAATTAAGCATATTAGGTGATGTGCATCTCTGTAATGAGAAGGGGTGTGGTCTAATGACATCAACACCCTATATCAGGTGTGCATAATTATTAGGCAACTTCCTTTCCTTTGGCAAAATGGGTCAAAAGAAGGACTTGACAGGCTCAGAAAAGTCAAAAATAGTGAGATATCTTGCAGAGGGATGCAGCACTCTTAAAATTGCAAAGCTTCTGAAGCGTGATCATCGAACAATCAAGCGTTTCATTCAAAATAGTCAACAGGGTCACAAGAAGCGTGTGGAAAAACCAAGGCGCAAAATAACTGCCCATGAACTGAGAAAAGTCAAGCGTGCAGCTGCCACGATGCCACTTGCCACCAGTTTGGCCATATTTCAGAGCTGCAACATCACTGGAGTGCCCAAAAGCACAAGGTGTGCAATACTCAGAGACATGGCCAAGGTAAGAAAGGCTGAAAGACGGCCACCACTGAACAAGACACACAAGCTGAAACGTCAAGACTCCAGTTCCAAGAAATATCTCAAGACTGATTTTTCTAAGGTTTTATGGACTGATGAAATGAGAGTGAGTCTTGATGGGCCAGATGGATGGGCCCGTGGCTGGATTGGTAAAGGGAAGAGAGCTCCAGTCCGACTCAGACGCCAGCAAGGTGGAGGTGGAGTACTGGTTTTGGGCTGGTATCATCAAAGATGAGCTTGTGGGGCCTTTTCGGGTTGAGGATGGAGTCAAGCTCAACTCCCAGTCCTACTGCCAGTTCCTGGAAGACACCTTCTTCAAGCAGTGGTACAGGAAGAAGTCTGCATCCTTCAAGAAAAACATGATTTCATGCAGGACAATGCTCCATCACACGCGTCCAAGTACTCCACAGCGTGGCTGGCATGAAAGGGAATAAAAGAAGAAAATCTAATGACATGGCCTCCTTGTTCACCTGATCGAACCCCATTGAGAACCTATGGTCCATCATCAAATGTGAGATTTACAAGGAGGGAAAACAGTACACCTCTCTGAACAGTGTCTGGGAGGCTGTGGTTGCTGCTGCACGCAATGTTGATGGTGAACAGATCAAAACACTGACAGAATCCATGGATGGCAGGCTTTTGAGTGTCCTTGCAAAGAAAGGTGGCTATATTGGTCACTGATTTGTTTTTGTTTTGTTTTTGAATGTCAAAAATGTATATTTGTGAATGTTGAGATGTTATATTGGTTTCACTGGTAATAATAAATAATTGAAATGGGTATATATTTGTTTTTGTTAAGTTGCCTAATAATTATGCACAGTAATAGTCACCTGCACACACAGATATCCCCCTAACATAGCTATAACTAAAACAAACTAAAAACTACTTCCAAAAATATTCAGCTTTGATATTAATGAGTTTTTTGGGTTCATTGAGAACATGGTTGTTGTTCAATAATAAAATTAATCCTCAAAAATACAACTTGCCTAATAATTCTGCACTCCCTGTAATTATAAAAATCACAGAATTTCATAGCCCCAAGTTTTACCCTCAACTTATCCACGAGGCATAGCATATTTCACAATTGTTGGTCACAAAACTGCACTCGACTTATACATGAGATCGACTTATACACGAGTATATACGGTATATCCTTTATTGTATAGAGCAAGGAAGAAGGTATGGCCGTGGATATGCAAACAATTGTAACAAAGGTCCTGCAAACTTAACGAAGTGCTAAAGCAATTAAATTATATAAACAAAGCACCGTAGCTAGTTGATATCTCACATAGGTACTTAGACCTTGAGTTAATATTGTTGGATAAGCTTTTCAAATATTCTTGGTAAATCGTAAAAAATAGAAATAAATTATAAAAATATCAAAAATATTGAATTTTTTTTTAAATATTGGAAAGTGTATCAAGTCCTTAGAGAGGAAACGGCTAACACACTATTTTGAACTGTCCAGGATTATTTTATTTTGGGAATTGTATAAGAGGATTGGAGAATGCAGATTAGGTATCCCATATTAGGGATCAAAATCTCAGTCCGGAAATAATAGACCTAAGAGATTAAGATCTGTTGTTGGTAATTCACTAGAAGGTTTATTTAAGGGTTAATATTCATGAATTACTTTTGAAAAAAAAAAATGTCCCTAGTAGTAAACAACATGGTTTCAGAAAAAGTCGATAATTTCAAAGTCATTTAATTGCAGTCTGTATAGAAATGAGTAGACATTTGTTCAGGGTGTTGCAGTAAGTGTAATATAGCTGGGTTTTGTGAAGACAGTTTGATTATAGTTCATTTTTAGATGAAAATGCTTTTCTTGGATTGAAAAAGTGCATATAGTAGGTAATAGAAGATGTCAAGTCAGAAATAAAAAGTAAGTGGAGCATCTAAGAGTCCACTTCTCTTTAATCTGTTTATAAATTATATTAAACTAGCCATTGGAAATCATGCAGAAGTTGACAACATAATACAGACCAACTGGAATATTACTGCTCTTCTAAGAGGAATTTGGACAATTTAGAAGAATGGAAAATAAAGGCAAATGGGATACAAAACAGATGCAAAATTGTGCATTTTTCATTACAGAACCCAAAATAAACTTTTAAAAATGGTTGTGTTAGAGATATCAGACTAGACAACAAGTAACCTGTCCATACCACATTATTTAATATATATTTGTATATTTATTTATTTATTTGCTTACAAAAAAGAAAAAGAAACAGGTCTGCTGTGCCACCATGATGAGATCAAAAGAAAGCTTTTAAGAGAAAAATATTTTGCAGTTAGGTATGCATTCACCTGTGTACATAAGAAAGGACTGTAAATAATCAGCAACTTTTTAAATAAAATCTCTTGGAATAACAGTTTTTTTGTTTTTTGTAACAAGCCTTTGGGAGAAGTTAAGGATTGTTACCAGTGTCTTGCTATATTTAATTTAGACGCCATAAAACTATAAATAATCAAAATTGTATTCTTTATATTGCCTAGCTTTAGATGTAAAAAGGCAATTTCCATTTTTTTGGAAAGTGAGATATCCCATATGCACTTTAGAAGATTGAAAACCATTATCAATAGCTCTACTACCCCTGTGCATTTCCACCAAATATGAAGTGGAGAGCCCTCCCTGTCTAGAAATCTTGTACAGATTGGAGACTGCTGAAGAAATATATTCTAATAATCAGCTAACTGTGTCAGAACAAAATACCACCCCTGCATTATTTTAAAATTGAGTTTCATGGTTGTTAAGACAGTATATAACTCTTTTTGTTTTTTAAAGGAGTTGCACTACTGATATATAAGTTTTGAAATCTCTAAATCTTTCTCCCATTTCTTCAGTGCAGTGCCAGTGTGTTCATCCATGTTTGGCTCTTAATACCTCCAAAGACCTGAAAAAAAACCTATCCGATCTTTGAGAGTAGAATACATTTTTCATATTATTTTTTTGTCTCTTAGAAATAGTTTAAAGAGACACAGTAGTAACCAGAACAACTACAGGTTAATGTATTTGTTTTGGTGAGTATAGTCAGTTCTTGAAGGCTTTTTGCAGTAAACACAGTCTTTCCAGATAAAATGCAAGGTTTACATACCAATTCTTGTTTTTTTTCCCCTCCAGACAACAATTAAAAACTGGATGTTCAACCAGCTCTTTTAGAAGGGAGCATACAGAAATGCATTAAAACTTTGGCAGTATATAGAATTTAATGTTGTTAATTCTTCCCCACCATGAAATCTCATAAAATCTTCATCATTTTACTAATGTTTCCTACAATTATTATACTTAATTAAGGAAAATATTTTCTAGTCCAGCAAAATTGGTATGTCTCTTTCAAAATACTTTATATTTTTAACTATTTTTTTAACTTTAACCTTAGTTTTGTTGACATTTAATTTATAATTAGAAATAGCACTGTGTATATGGAATTTTCCCATTAAGTGTTATTAAGATTTTGATGGATCAGTGATTGAAACTAAAACATTGTCTGCATTTTAAGTCATTCTCTTTCATTGGAAATCCCTTAATTAGATTGTAATCTTTGATGTTAATTACTTGAGGTTCTATAGCCATTATATATATATAAAAGAGGAGAAAGTGAGCATCCCTGCCTTGTTCCATTGGTAATGCCAAACCAATTAGTGCAGAAATCATGACCCACTATCTTGGTTTTAGTATATTTTAGTGTATATTTTAGTGTAAAGGATAGAGGCCTGTATCCCCCCTTGAGACCAAAAGCCAACAGAGTCTTAGTCAGTAATTCCCATCTGACCCTGTTGAACGCTTTCTCTACGTTGATTTACAGGGCAGAAAAGGAGCCTCTAATCATTTAGAGTAGTCTGAGATACCAATAATTCTTCTAGTGTCGTTACATAATAATCTGCCAGGTAGAAAGCAAATTTGGTCCGGATGTACAACTGAATTTAAGACTTTCTGAAGTCGCCTAAACAGCGCTCCTTAGAGTGGCTGGGCTGTGCACACAGAGTGTATTCAGAATACAAGCCAAAGTCAGAGGGAACCAGAGACAGACTAATCGATAAGACAAACTGAGGTCAAGGGTCAGCAAAATCAGGATAAATGGAGACAAGCCAAACATTCGGTAACCATAGAATCCGCGCTATTGGGCTATCAAAAGACCACAGCAGGGCAAGGAGGCATGGGAAAGGTAAGTATAAATACCCTTATGTTAACTCTGATTGGCTAGTTTCCAATCAGAGTTAATCATCACATGTAGAAGGTACTTGTACTTTCCACTTTGACCTGTAAAGTCACTATTGCGTGCTGAGCCAGATGCCTGACCTGGGCGCCTATTTAAACTAACGTACAGCGTCCCAAAGACCACTGGGGGAGCTGACATCTGCAAGCGGTGTGCGGGCACCATAAGCCACCACTCATGGAAAGAGGAAGGGTGGCGATACCGCAAGCAGCGTGTGGGCATAGGAAGTCGCCGTGAGCAGTGAGGGCATAATTGAAGTTGCTGCAAGTGGCATGCGGACGCGATGGTCCGCTGCCCATGTAGACCTGACACTGAAGGAGCACCTCGTGTGCCATGAGCAGCCCAGGGCCGCCACGTTGTCGGAAGAAGGCTGGTGCATTTTGCTGTTCGAAGAAATTGGCTTGTCCCTGTTTTGTCTAAAAGAACTTCTGTTAACCTGGCTGGACAGACAGCTCCTGACTCTTCCGGCCCCACCAAAACCGATGAGGTTGAAAACGTTGCGGATATTTATCAAGGGCGGTAAAGGTATATACAAATGAGCCTAATTCCTTTACATAATTATTTCAAAGAGTAGACCTTTTGCCTGTGTGCCTGGCTCGTTCAGAGCCATGTTGACTAATTTTGACTAAATTTTGAGCAGAATGGACTTGTGACACTCCGTGGCCATCGCAGTGTTGGCATTGCCAACCAAGCATATAATTCTCTGTATCCAGCCACATATGGTAGCATGTTCTAGCTCTTGGTCATCTTCATCCATATCTTTGCTGCTGGGCCCAAGATTGGCCAGTATCCTGACAGTTACAGAGTGAAAAATCCAAGCGTTTATTAGGCTTCCAGCCTGTCTTACCCAGAAATTGGACAATTTTGGACAATTTGGGGACCTACTGAGAGCATCTTACAAGTGGGGTATGGGCATTCAGCCCGTAATTTATTTTTAGTTGCCTTGTCTAAAGGCTTGCATAACCTAGACACATATCTAGCCATATGGTCTGATGGGGACCAGTCTGCTGACTGTGGGCGGTGTAAGTCGTCAGGATCAAATAGGGGTTCACCTTGAGGGTCTAAGATACTATCGGTGTCCCCTGAGGCCCCATTGTCAGTCATCACCTTAGAAGGTTTACTGGGAAGTGTATCCTGTGATGGGTCAGTCTCCTCGTCATAAGCATCAGAGCCAGGATCATAAAGATCATCTGAATGATCATTGTAGTCCATGTAGGACTCCTCTTCAATGTTACTGAGTTTAGACTCAGAATCTAACTGGGCTTTTTCCCTCTTCCAAAGTCTGGCTGATTTTTCCCTGCTAGTTGTAGATTAATAGTGCTATCCATGACAGGTGCAGAACTTTCCATCTCTATTGATTGTGAGTAGTGTTTGGAGCAGTTGTTGCCAATGGCATCGCCTATGGAGTACTCAGCTCAGCTGATCTCTGAGCCTGCAGCAGGGCCTGGGCAATGGTCTGCTAGAGGGAGTCAGACATAATTCCCATCACAGAAACCAGGGCTTTAGTCATAGCTTGCAACATAGATGTGTCAATTAAAGCCTGCATGCCAATCTTGGGATCAACAAACAATGTTGCTCTTTTAACCAGCATTCAAGTAGAGAAACATTTGGGAAATAGTGATCACAATATGGTAACTTTTGAAATAAACTCAAAAAAAGCAAAAGCACATGGGGTATATTAAAACGTATAATTTAAAAAAAGCCAATTTTAACAAGATTAGGGCATCTCTGTAACATATCGACTGGCATTAACTCCTTAGTGATAAAAACACTGAGGAAAAATGGAAACTATTCAAACACATATTAGAAAGGTACATTTCACAGTATGTACCATTCGGTAATAAATATAAAAGAAACAGAGGGGGGGGCGTGGCCGAACGGACATGGAGTAAGTCGCACATACACGAGGCTCCGCTACTCCGGCTCACAAGGCACCCGATAACTAGCCCTCCTGCGCCCTAAAATGGGGAAAATCAAGCGACAGACGACCCCTGGACCCTCAAGTACTGCCTCACCAAAGCGACTGGCGGGTCCCATGGATGAATACCTGTCAACCCCCGATGGCCTCAGACCCACGCGGCAGCCAGACAAGATGGCGCCGGACTCCCCAGGTGCCAGCAGCATAGCAGAATCCACGGCAGGCTCTGCACGCATGGACTCCTTCACTCACATATCAGCGGAGCTCGCAGCAATTTCGGCTAATATGCTGACCAGGGCAGACAAAATGGCTCTGGTGAAGGAGCTATGCTCAGTGATTCGGGAGGAGATTCAGGAGGTGCGGAGAGATCTGTTAGCCCTGGAGCAATGGGTCACTGAACTCGAGGCCGACTGCTTACAGGCCTCCCAGCACTCCCGGGCAGCAGACACGGCCACATCCCGGCAAGGCACAGTACTCCTGGACTTGAGAAGACAAGTGGAAGATTTGGACAATAGGGGCCGGCGGAATAATATCCGCGTAAGGGGCCTGCCGGAGGAGACAGGAGAGGACCTCATTGCCATACTCACACAGGTATTCACAGGTATCCTGGGGGAAGGGGCCCCGGCCTCCTACAACATCGAGAGGGCCCATAGAGCTCTCCGGTCCCCTAGAGCAGATGGGCACCCCCGAGATATCATCTGCTGTCTGCTATCCTTCCACTTGAAGGAAGCCATCATGCGGGCAGCTAGGCCGCAAACCGTCACGTTCGGGGCAGCACAGGTCTCTTTGTTCCAAGACCTTTCCCCCCTGACTCTGGAGGCACGTCGGGCTCTGAGACCGCTCACCCGCCTGCTCCAGGAAAAGGGAATCCCATATAAATGGGGATACCCCTTCAGCCTCCAGGCCAAGAAGGACAATATATGGCATATCTTGAGATGGCCAAACGACGCGCCCGGATTCCTCAGGGCCCTGAGTTTACCGGCAGTTACGGTGCCTAACTGGATCCTGCAGGGCCCACCGCAACCACCACAGCACCCGGCAGATAACGCCGGAATACACACACCTGCAGGCGGGAGAGGCCGTCCTCAGAGGAGAGGGGGACCTGACGGCCCCGAAGAGTAAAGCTTGCGCAGCGCCCTGGGACATACACACGCCTGACCGTTGGGATGCTTGCCCCCTGGACCCGGTCTCCCGTGCAGTCCCAGACCTGGGTACGGGATATCTGCAAGGGGTATGTACATACTGCCTAGGGCACTGGGGCTTCCCCCTCCCCTCTGCCCTCGACCTGGCCTACTAGCTTCATGCCCCGGGGTCGCCCTACATTGGGGCTTACCACTTCACCACCCAGGGGGGCATTGGTCCGCCCAGGAGCTACGAGCATCCACGGGCTGGGGATCCCTGCCCCCCCCCCCCGGGAACTGCCTGCCCTGATCCATCGGGAACAACAGTGGGAGGGTGAGGTTTGTTTGGGTGGGGGTTTCGGGCACCTCTCAGACCAACTCATGCACTCACAGGAAAACCTGGCTAAGGCTCGGAAGGCACCCACGAAAGAGCCGCTGATAGGCGGGACAGTGCACCCTGGGCACTAACCCTGAACCCACTCTTGGCGTCTCGCTACCCTAACACATCCCATGGGACGGACTGCTTCTCTGCTTGGATGAACTGAGGACTTGGTGGGATAGAGGGTGAGGGGCATGGTGATATGAGGGGGACAGGGGGCAGGGGGGCAGATGGGATACAAGATGAGGTGCAGCTTCACCTACCCCAGAGGGACTTGCTAGCACGGTTGACCCCGACAGATAGGGCCCCCCCGACAGCTACCGGACATAACCAGGACCCGTTAACGAGACCGACACTAGGGCTGGACCCAATATCCCTAGCAAGATGAGACGCAGCACGCCCGAACCAAGATTTATGACTACAATGGGACGGTAGCAAGGGAAACGGGAAGGCAGTGATTACAGAGGGGACGTAATGGTCCCTTACCTCACAAGCTGAAAGGTAAACCCAGGGGCTCACCCCTAGCAAGGGTTAGGGATGCCCTAACGTGTAGACCCCTTCGCCCCCACAAGACCGGGGCGTTCTCCCCTCGGCTTCCAAACGACAACAAAGTGAAGTAGCACATAAGACACGGGGTCTGACCGGGACACGGGGGCGGGTGATGACGGAGGGTTGACAGCTAACGTTAATAATTTCAGCAGTCCCACGGGGCGCAATTGTAAAGTTCTTTACTTGTTTCATGTTGTTGATTTGCTTATACCCGTTTTATTGGTTATGCTCAATCTATTTGGTTAAAATGATGCTCCAGCCACAGTTAGCTGGGCGCAGTGAGAGCCACCTATCACATGATCGATATGGCTCAGCACAGGCTCCCCTGGGCCAAGGAGCGTTAAGAGGCTATTCTGAGCCGGAAACTGACGGTAGCCTCACCACCACTGACTTCGACCTCCTCTCCGAGACACCACAACACCACACGACAGACCCTACCTGTACATTAGATCGGCTCCGGGACCCCGCTCCACTCTAGGAGGGGCACATAAACCCTGGTACCACAGACCGATCCTGGGTTATAGTCGTCTTCCCATCCTCACCTCCTTACAGAAAGATATGCAAAAATGGACAGACCTCTACATCTCATGGTTCGGACGCATTAACGCAATCAAGATGAACATCCTCCCGCGCCTCCCATACCTTTTCCAGACAATCCTGATCACCTTACTGAAAACCTTCTTCCAATCCATCGCCTCAGCCATACGGAGGTTTGTCTGGAGGAGGGGAGCCCCACGGGTCAGCAAACGAATACTTGAGCAACCCAAGCAGAGGGGTGGAGCGGGGCTGCCTTCAATCATAGGCTACCACCGTGCAACTCACCTTCTTAGAGTTACTGACTGGCATGCACGACAGACGGATAAAATCTGGGTGCACACCGAAATCTCACAGACCGTCGGACGGCTTCCCGCGACGCTATGGGGGACCGGAATAACACCCAGCGAGCTCAAAACTGGTAACCCCCTGATAGATGCCACCGTGAGGATCTGGTGCGCATTACGCCACCCGCACCAGCTGACCACCCACACCAGCCCACTCACAACCATAGTCTACAACCCCAACATAGGAGGGGAACTGACACCAGCAGACCTAAGAAACTTTGCACAAACAGACTGGATATACCTACGCCAATGGTGTGGCAATGGCACACTAAAACCACTAACAGACCTGCTTCCCGACACCACCCCAACAGGCCTGGACTGATTTCATTATTTTCAAGTGAAGTCCTTCTACTCCAACGTGGCAGCTAAACACTAATTTCACCGTGACCTCACAGACTTCGAGAGGATATGCACATCAAGACAACATATGGTGAGAGGGATATCGAAGCTATACACAATGCTATTAGAGGGAGAGATGGGGCCGACACCGAAGTTCATTAACAGGTGGGAAAGAGAAACAGGGGAGAACCTGACCAAGCAAGAATGGGATAAAAAATTTCTACTCACACACAAGAGCTCCATTAGCTCGAAATTTCAGGAGATGAGTTATAAAATATTGACGACCTGGTACAGGACCCCAGATATAATACACCGCATGAACCCAGACGCGGAGGAGACGTGCTGGCGATGTGGACAGGACAGGGGGACCATGATCCACATCTGGTGGTCGTGCCCAATCATCGCCCCATACTGGGAGATGGTGAATGCTAAAATCAGGGAAATTTCGGACCCAGAACTCCTGCTACAACCTCTACCCATGCTACTACACCACACAACCATGGCATTGCAAACCTACAAGAAGTCTCTGACGAAACATCTATTGACAGCCGCGAAATCCCTGATACCAACACTTTGGAAGAAAACGGTGGCCCCCACATTCCAACAGTGGGTAGACAGGGTAGCAGAAATACAAGCCATGGAAGCCATGACAGCGGACCTACAGGGCCGTTCTGAAAAATGTAATCGGACCTGGACCCCGTGGCTCCTATAAATCACAGAGGGCAGACAGGCCTCCTAAACCAACACACCAACACGCACCTTTCCACCCTTCCCCTCGCACCCAATACCCCGGCCGCGTAACCCGTTCCCCCTTTTTTTCTCTCTTCATCCTCAACCCCTGACCCTCTCCAGACTAGACAGGCCCGAAGAACGTGACGGACTGAGCCTTAGAATAAAAGGGAAACACCGAGAAGGCTGTGGATCTCGGTCTGACCAGGCAATAGATGTGGAGAAGATCCCTGACCCCCTAGACAGCAGCAGAAAACACGCACTAGGCTACCTGGACACCCCAGTCCATGGATGCA